GGGGCTGATGACTTAAACGACGAAGGATGTTGTAACCTAGGAACAGCAGCCGGCAGAAGCGTCTGCTGACAAATATAGGGAACCATGATAAATAAAGAGGGGTGTTTCCGCCACCCGAGAATACGTGGAAGTGATGGGGGAGGAGGAGGAAGAGAGAGGAGGAGGAAAGGGAAAAGGAACAATGGATGGAGGAGAAGGAGGAGGAGAAGGAGGAGGAGGAGGAGGAAGAGGAGAAGGATGAGGACAACGAGGAAGAGAAGGAGAACGGATGGAGGGAGAGGAGGAGGACGACGACGAGCGTATGACGATTGGAGGACGCGAAGACCCGCAGAGGAGCGGCAACTCCTGGAGACGAGGCGTTGCGCGGCTAGGGCGGGCCAACTCGGGGGCCCTCCGCAAACCTCACTGGGGGTCGATCGCGCTGTAGGCGAACTTGCGGGTGGCCCGACCAACGTTCCGACATCCACCCAAAGAGGGAACGCAGAAGCCGAACTCGGTCAGACCTCCCCCAGCACACTTCCAGCCAAGACATGCAGCCGACGGGCCCAGCAGCCGCTGGGCCGGTGAGAAGAAGGCGCCAGAGACGACCCGCAGCGCAGCCGCCGCGGCCCAGCAACTCCAAAAAGAACATGAGAATGATAAACAACACACAACAACATGGCAGCCGTGGCGATCCAGCAAACGCGAACGTGGAGACCAAGGGCTCGCGACCAGAACGGGAAACAAGGTCGATCCGAACGATCTGGCTACGGCCCTCAGCGCCGCAACTATGTCGGCCGATGGGCAGGGCCTTGCCGCTGATGGGGCAGGTTGCCGACGAGGATCTAAACTGGCCTGCATGCCTGGCGCCGCGCTCCAGAACGCAACAAGGAACCTCGTGGCCGCGGACGAACACGTGGCCGAGCAAGCCCGCGAGGAAGATCAGATCGGCTCGTTGTTCTGGGGGTGCCTAGAGACTGGAGGCCATCGGCTTGCGCGGGCGCTCAAGGACGGTCGACGAGCGGGATGCCGCGCGTCCTTCGCCGCTGGGAAGGCCGTCGCCGGGCCGAGATGCGCAACGCCCGCGAGAGAGAATGGCGCCGGCTCGCAGTGGCCAGCGCCCGTCGCGCTCGACCCCCCGCTCGCGACCCTGGCGAGGAGAGTCGACCCCGCCGACGGCAGGCCCGATCTGCGCCCCCTCGCTGAGTTCAAAATGATCAGGAGCCCCCGTGGCCGCCTGATGGACTGAGCGACGTATTCAGAAATGCGGGCCTCCGCGCGAAACTTGCCGATGGCTGTCGGCGCGCGCGCAGGCCGCGGGAACGGTGCTGGCGTGGGGCCGCCCTCCGCTCGCGCAGCGCGGCAGCGCGCAGTGCGCATCAACGCTCCGCGCGGGAGCCGAACCCGCGCATTCTGGACCACTTGCAAATGGGGCCGTTGATCCTCTCGAGCAGCGGAGACGCGCTCTGCGTCGGGATCCCAGCGGCCAACCTTGGGTATGCGACGCGTCGCCCGCGCCATGCGTCGCGCGACCTCGCGGTGCTGGCGAAGGCCCGCGTTGTGGGCCTGCTCGTGCGCCCTGGGTATCCTGGGCTGCGGGGCGCGTTCTCGAGGAAATGTGTCGGCCCGCGAATTGCCCGAGGGGGATCTGGGGGATGCCCGCGTCGCTGTAATCCGCCGTGGGGCGGGCCCCCATGTCGACGGAGGGCGACGCTCGCCAGCGGCGCGTTGGATCTGTCTCCAAATCGCGAAATGAATGCCAGATGCCGACGCCTGCCCGTCCGAACGAGCGTCGCCCTCCTCGCGCGGGGCCGGGGGGTCCGCTCGCGCAGGCGCACAGCGGCCAACCAACTTGAATGTCATAAGAGCTGCGGCGCGTTCTGCCCGTCCAACTGGCCGTGGCCGGCCAGGTGGCGGGCCGTCAGTCCCGCCGAACGGCGAGCCAGCTTGACCTGTCGTCGCGACCGCCCAGCCGCGTCCCATCTGCCCTGGTACCGGCGCAGCAAATCCTGACCCGTCGGGGAAAATGCCGCGGTCCAACGCGCGGGTCTGGCGGTGAATTCTAGCCAGCCCATGGCGCGTGAGCGTGATGGGAGGGGGCGGCGCCGCGGCAGTGAACGCGGTAGACCAACGAACAGCTCGAACTGGACCCGTCATGCCTCGCCCAGATTTGGGGCCTCGGTCGCGAGGGTACCTCGTTTTGTGTATATATATGTATATATATATACATACAGATATACAAATCCACCAGGCAGAGCCCGCCACCCACATCGACCTCGCCAACTGGACGGAGCAGAGGCTCGCAGCCGACGAAACGCTGCCGAGACTTGCCTGAGCACCGCGCTTGATGCACCGCAGAGACGACGCCAATGCCGCCGAGAAGAGCATCTAGCGTGCCCAATGGAGTCTCGCCCAGTGCGCGCGAAGGGGCGCCGCGCCAGCCGCTCGATGCGCCGCAATCATTGGTGAACCCTCGCGCGACGAAACGCTTTCATCCGCATTCCCACATCCGAACCACGACACCACACGTGCCAATTTACCAATGTATATAGGATGATATTATGTAGTTCCGCTGTGTCGCGAAGGCAGGAAACGACACATAACCTGCTCCGATACCAACTAGCATACCTCGGGAGAAGCGAGCACTTCCTCGATGTGTCCTGGCGCGCCCGCCCCGTGAGCAAATGATGGAAGTGGACCAGTCTTCCACAGGCAGCGTACCTTGTGCCCAAGTGTCTTCTTGAACAGAAACAAGCGTCCTTTGCGATCTTCCGCCGCCTTCGTCCGAACTTTCGTCGGAATGGGCCAAGATGGTCGTGTCCAAGGTTGCGGGTCCATTTGCCAGCTCGAAGCCCTCTAACACAAAGATGCTTCTTTGCCGCTCTAGGCACAGCTGCGGACGAAACCACAACATTACATTTCAAAGAGGCTCATCTGAAAAAGGAGCCTGGTTTGAACTCCGCCACCGGCTGCCAGAACGCAAGCGCACTCACGCTGTGCAACATAGCCCCCGTCCGCAGCAAATATACATAACTTATCAGCGTTCGAAATGCGAATACAAGCCACGACTTCAGGCGGGCGCGTTTTCTCGAGCGAAGCACATCATGAACAATATGATCCCACACGCCTGCGGACACCCAGCCAGACTGCCCTGGAACACTCATATCGCATTGCCGACCGCCCCAAACGCCTGACGCCTCCGTGGTATATATTAACATTGGCAAATCATCCACAGCAATCAAAAGATAACCAACTGCTGTGCCTTCGTGAAGAAAAGCGTCGCGCAAGACAAGCTCAAACAATTCCCAATCACGCACCAATGCTGTGATTGCATGCTCGGCCATGGCTATCAACACCTCCGTTCCTGGATTCAGAGCGAAAGCGAAGCCTGAAGATTACCGTGCTCCTCCTAAGCCCCAGATGCCCGCAGAAGGGTTCAGTACCAGCCAATCCTTGGTCATCGGGGTACGGATGTAGGGCCACACGCGCAACGTGCAGCCCATGAGTCAGATCAACCTGCTGCCGCCAAGTGGATTAGGTAGCCGACCGAACCATCCCATTCCATAGACGCTGCTGCGGACACTCCCCCAAGTCGTCACGCTTCTCAAGCCCGAGTTCAAAATGTGAGTGAAGGCTCCCATGGCTATCTTACCAGGAACAACGCAGTCTTGATGGGAAGCGACGAGGTCACCACCTGCCGAGGAAGGGGGAATGAGGACAGCAGGAGGTGGACGAGGAGCAAAACGAGGGGAAAAGAGGACGAGGGCGACGCGAGGTCGAATCGGCCTCAGCGCGAGGTGGTCGGCACCAGCGCCAGGCCCACTGGCGCAGGCCGGCGCGGTCACCACTTCACCGAATGAATCTAAAAAGCGTACCTAAAGCCAGGACCTCCTCTTCCTCCTTCTCCACCTCCTCATCATCCACCCTCCTCCTAATCATCGTCACCCTCCCTCCTCCCGAATCAGCGTCATCCTCCCTCCTCCCGCCCTCCCACTTCTTAGTGCTTTCTCCTCCACCCTCTTTCTCTTCCTCCTCCTCCTCTTCCTCCTCCTCTTCCATTATCTGAATGAAGGCTAACGAGTAGCTACCTCGGCTCCTTGCGGCTACCTCATGCGTCGGTGGCAGCAGTGGCCAGGCTGGCCCTCTACAGGGCCTTAGCTGCGGACCCAATGCACAGAAATGGGATGTGCACTTTCCTTTGAAAGTAGAGGCTCACCACGCCATTAGCCTCCAGTCGATCTTGCGAATACCAAGGCCCACTGCTGCGCGCTTTTTAAGGAAATCGTGAGCATAGTACTCACGGGACAAACAGACAACATGACGTTCATGTTGTGCATATCGTACCCTCCTCGATCTCTTCCTCCCTCCTGCTCCCCCCTTCTCATCCCTCCCTCCTCCTCTTGCTTCTCCGCCTTCACTCCTCCTGCTCATGCCTCCTGCTCACTCCCCCTTCTTACCACCATTATCATGTCTCCTGATCCCTCCCCTTCCATTCCCTCTTCTCCTTCTCCATCCGACCACCACCCTCCTGACATCACCTCATCCCGTCAACTTCTTCCATCATCCCTGATCCGCTTAGATCACCTTACTTCGCGCTTCGCGAACTACGATTACCTTTGCAGCGAGCCCCGTGGAGAAGGGCAGCTCTCTTTGCTAGGCAGCCAGAGAACGATGCACCACCCTCGGCACACTCCCTCCCCTCTGCTCCCCCTCATCACGCAATCCTTTCCCCTCAATCAACGGAGCCGCCGGAAGAGCAGGAGGGTGATGGGAATGGGCGAGGAGAGGAGGGGAAGGTTTGAAGGAGAAGCATGAGGGTGTGGAAGGTGAGGAGGTGGACGCATCCCGCAACTCCTCCCTACCCCTCTTCACGACACCCGCCTCACATGTATCTTCCCTCCTCGCTCCCTCATTCTCCCTCCTCCCTCCCCCCCTCCTGTCACACCCCTCCCTCCTTTCCAGGGGCTGCCGGGCTGCCCGTCAGCCTGCACAACAAGCCTGACAGCCCCTCCCCTCGCCAGTCACATGCGCAGCAAGTACCACAGCGACAAAAGCAAGAAGAGCACGAAGGCCATGCCTCGGCTTGCTTCGGGAATCCCACTCCTCCGCTCTCACTCCTCCAGCCTTTGTCGTCCCTCGCTGCCTCCCTCCAGGCCCCCCCTGCTCCTCTTTTTCCTCCTCCTCCTTCTCATCCTCCTCCTCCTCCTCCCTCTTCCTTCGCCCTCCTTGTCCTGCTCGTCCCTTCTTCTCCTCCTCCTCCTCCTCCTCCTCCTCCTCCTCCTCCTCATCATCATCATCATCATCCATATGATCCTCCTCCTCCTCCTCCTCATCATAATCATAATCATCATCATCATCATCATCATCATCATCATCATCATCATCATCATCATCATCATCATCATCACCATCATCATTATCAGCAGCCTCATCATCAGCCTCATCATCGTAATCAGCATCAGCATCATCAGCATCATCAGCATCATCATCATCATCATCATCATCATCATCATCATCATCATCATCATCATCATCATCATTATCATCAGCATCAGCATCAACATCATCATAAGCGCCATCAGCATCAGCATCATCATAGATGTAGCTTCCTCGGCTCGGCGGCTTGTGCGGGCACAGACGCTCAGATGTACCAGGCTGGGTCTCACGCGAGCCAGACATTTCACTGATGGAATTTGGCGGAACTCTGCAATGAAAGGACGACCTCAAATCATCAGCTTGTCCCTGGCGAGCCGGCCTTTGGCGACGGCCCAGGGATCGCTCACGTTCTTCAGGAGTTCAGGAGGTGCTGGGCAATGTAATCTTATCACGTCGAGTTCTTGTTACGGTATATGCGTCATCGATAGCCACCCCCCGCTCACTTCGTGATCGAGCACCCAGACCACGAGAGGTTCACCATGGTGCTCAAGAACCCTGTCGTGACGAGCTTGCCCGACATTGCTGCGTGGTGCCACACGCGAGTTCAGGCAGACGATCTAGCAAGCTTGGTTGTGGCCTTGGCGATAACGATAGATGTGATGCTGCCGCCTCAGAGCAAAGGTGGCGTGCGCTCTGAAGAGAAGGCGGTCATCACCAATCTTCTGCTTGTCGCAACGGGTTTGTGTCGGCTACGCCGAGCGTTTTCTGCAGCACGTCCTCCTCGTTGGTTTCGTCAACAGTGGTGTCTTTCCGACTGCGCTTCAGGAAGACATGATTTCATATATTTCGGCCGCCTGGTGGAGAATATTGCAGTGGATCTTTGCTTCGGGATGTCTTATCGGTTCCAATACTGGCTGCTATGTCGGTCAGGCCAACTTGACGCGCGCCACGGGCGTGACGCATGGCCTAGCCGCCCGTGCCTTAGAACACATCAAAAGCCTCCTGTTGCCGCAATCTCGCGACGGCCGCCTGGCAAGGTACACGGCCCTGCGGGACAGCATCGGTTCGTACTTCATGATCCCCATCGTGGTGGTGGACACGGAGAGCAGGGCCTACGCGATTGAGGCAACCATCATCAAGTCTATCAATCCGATCTGCAATCGTGCCGATGAGGACCAATGGCGAGTAGAGAAGCGTGCTGCGAAACCCCTACCACTTGAGCGTGCTCGTCCTCGTGATCATCCTCTTCCTCGGACGGGCGCAGCAACCACATTCTTTGTGGGCGTTATCAATTTTCGGGCAAGGGCTTCAAGGCGATTGGAGCCCAGAGTCCCTTCTCCTTTTTCATCACGGAAAGGGTCTTTTGCAATACCTCCCTCATCGCTGGCTCCAGACAACGTGCTCGGTGCTGTTCGGTTTCGTGGACCCTTTGTGGATATTCTGTGTTGGTATTGCGCAAACAAACGGCATTCATTGGATTTCTTTCCGAGGTGGTCCCGAGATGATGCGTGCGTTGTCATTTACCGCGTCGCGAACAACATCAACACGGCTGTGCTGGGCGCAGCGCCCAATGCAACCGCACGTCGGTTTCTCGAACGAGTGCTACGTCGCCTTCGTTGACCACCACTTGCCGTTCGCTCCATTGGCATTTCAAATCCCGCGTTAACTTAATGCGGCGTTTGGTGTGGGAAGCTTTGCAGACTGTCAATGTGTATTCTGCGCGGCGGTGGCTTCAGGGACACTTGTCGGTGGTGCATGGTCGTGCCCCGTCGTGGTACGATAAGCTGGACTCCCAGCGTCGCCTTCGGTCCTTCAACTTTGACGCCTTCCAAGATCACAGCTCGCAGACTCTTGGCAAACAAGCTCAGACGGAATCCTTGCAAGCACAAGGGGTTCCGTGGAAGTTGAAACTGTGGCCGATGGCCAAGTCGGTTCGGTCCGCCGTGCGCACCTGTTGGGCGAACTGGGCTCAACAGCACCGCCTTCATCCTCGAGTACGCGTGCAATGCATCCGCACCTGCATGGTCAGATGATGGAGTTCTTCATGCCTCCTTGTCCTCCTGCTTGGCGTGAACAAGAGCGTGTTTTTCAGCAAATTCTACGGAGTGGTACCTCTACTACGACGTGTGTGCCAGATGATCGTGATAGCTAGAACATTTGGCAGGTGGAGTTGCAACAATTATGTGCGAATCTCAGGCATGCGAACGCTATCGACCCGAATTGGAAGCTCAGGTCTGATTTCTCGGCGTCGCAAGTGCTCCCCTTGGCTTTCGCTAGAGCGCATGTCGCTCTGCCTGAGTGGCTTCGAGGCTGTCCTCGAAGTCGGGCTGTTCCATTAGCGCCGCCAGTCCTGTTAACGTTCGTCAAATCCAAGTGCTTCACGGACGAGGGCGTGAAAAAGTGTAGCAAAGAGGGTACTAATGTCTTCGGAGGCTCTTGAATCTGTCGGGCATGCCGTTTGCATCAGCGTGCAGAACGATTGCGAAACCAATGCGGACAATTGCAGAAATCACTACGCGTACGCGTGACGTGTGTGATGTAAGGAGTGCAGCTTCGCTTTTGAGAGATGGTCTGAGAGAGTTGGAACGCAACGTTGATGGGTGCTGTTGTCGGTGCCGTTCTCCGATGTCTTCCACCACGGTCCTGGCCATCGCTCGGACGTCCATTCCCTGTGTTTGTTTGGTTTTCGTGCGTGTTTTTTTCGCCAAATGATCAAGGATGCTCCTCGATGGTCCTCGCCGAGGGAAACATGCACACGTCCGAGCGATGTCAAGGGTCGTGAGTGCAGACATCGATCGGGCCTTTGAGGCCTGCCAGGCGTCTCGGGGGGAGCCTGCATGGGCCCGCTTCGCCAGGAGATGTTCGAATATCGCCCAGTACCAGGACGTCTGCATCCAGCGCGGGAAGACGGTTCCTTATCGGTTGCCTCGTGAGGGTGCCTGGTCTCGGAGCTGGCTTTGTTTGTCCATGGGTCTGCTAGCTCTAGCACTCCAGGCGGCTACGGTGCTCAAATTAGTTGCCTTCGGCTCCTCGGTTATCGAGCTCATTGATTTATCGATTGGAGGTGTTATCTCTGCTGCCGCGGTTTCTGTGCTTCTTGGTGATGAGGAGGCGAGGCTCTTCGAAGGGGACACCGTTGTGCCAGGCTTCTCTTTAGGTGTATCGCAAGCCCAGTTTCTTCATGCTGTGGCTTGGCCTCGCTACGTCGATGATAGCATTGGCTTCTCGAACCTCCTTTGCGCGATCTGTGTAAAATTCCTTTTCACTTCTGTGTATTCCGAGCCCTGGTCGTTCGTGTTTGAGAGTGATGGGTCTGATGGACTCCGTACATGTGAGTGGCTCGACCTAGAGGTACACGTATTTCGGTATAACATTGGTTGGAACATGAAGGACTCGAATCGTGATTCGACTTTCGGCCGCGGTCCCAAGCAGAAGAGTAACCTGCTCCCGTGGTTGGACCAGTTGCCAACACCTTTTTCGAGGCTCAGAGGGCAGTTGTTGGGCAAGATCTCTAGGTGTTTCTCGTTGGAGTTGGGTCGTGGGCTGCAGCTTGTTGTCATAATGGAGTTCCTGTTGGAGTTGTTAAGGCTGAAGTACCCCATCTCATATGTAAGGTCATTGGTTCATCATGCTCCTCCATTTCCTGCAGTTGTTTTGGGTCGAAAATCTGTGCGGTCTCTGGCCTACCATCGCCCCGATTTTCAGCATTCTCAGTGGGCTATGGGAAGGTCCAACGGTGGTCGTGGCCATCAGCAATCCCGAGGACATGCTCAGTGGCCGACGACGTGGCAACCAAAGCAGCAACGAGACCGTGATCGCGATCGTGACCGTGACAGAGACAGCCGCAAGAAGAAGCATCGTTCCAGCAATTCGAGCAACTCGGACAAAGAGACGCGCGTGGCCGTCGCCGAGAAGTTCCTTATCAAACACAGCAAGCGCTACCGCAAGTTCGTGGAGCCGGAGGAGGAGAGCGCCCGCCTCAAGGAATACGAGAGGCAGGGCAAGATCATCGCCGATGCGATCGCGCCGCAGCTTTCGGCCGCCATCGCGACCCATGCGGTTCGAGCGGGTGCTCTTCCTGCTCAGCCTGCTGGTGCTGGTGGCGTACAACCCGTAGGCGCTGCCGCGCTGCCAGCGCCTGCCTTCGCACCCGCGCCCCCGAGCGTCGGGCAAGTGCCGCCTCAGCGGGCGGAGGCCGAGCCAACAACGCTCTCAGCACCCCAGCGGGCGTACATCGTCGCCGAGTGTGGCCACATCTTCCAGCTGGAGAGCGGGACGTTCGACGAGCTTAAGAAGTGGTCAACGAGAAGTTGCTCAACGTAAAGGTTCCCAAAGGGATCGACTGCAGCATCATGCATCAGGGGATGGCACCCCCCAGACAGAAAGACAGTGGCATCGAAATGCTCGTCGAAATTGTGGCGAAGATGTCCTGAGTGCTGTTTGCTCCTGTAGTGTGTATATACCGCATGATGTCTTCACCGTGAAGCTGCTATACTTGCTTGTGTCCATTAGCATTGTCTTTTATCTCGGGTATCGTATGGGCACTGGGTCGAAAAGTGGGAGCTCTACGTGACAGTGCGCGGCGCGGCTTTCAAGAGTGTGGGGTCCATGTTGGTGTCTTATTTCACTGGTGGGTCAGTGCCGATAGGAGCTGGGGGCATGGCAGCAATCAGTAGTGCCGATTATTTCTTCAGCAGTGGT